TGATACCACTGTGATACCTAAAAATATTGACTCTGTTAAACAAAAGATACATTGTGATACCTAATCATATATAAGATGCATAGTGATATCATTGTGTTACATCTTCGATCGACCACACAAATGACATCAATGTGATATCCAAGCACATATATGATGCATTGTGATATCATTGTAGTGTCACTGGAGGACGGTGGCTGGAGGACGGTGGCCGGAGGACAATGGCCGGAGAGAGAAGAGAGGAGCGAGGAAAGTTTTAAAATACCAAAAATATCCTTGCATTAATATTTTAATTCAAAATTGCCAAAATTATAAATTTCATAATTTATCTATTGATTTGTGGTTAATATTGGTTCTCACAGTTACCACAAACTAATTAGTTCTCATTTGATATATATATATATATATATATATATTACATTATAAAACATTTGACAAAAACTTTTAAAACTATTTTTTATGCATAAAGTACTGTTTATTGATGCATATTACTTTAAATTCAAGATTACAAGTAAATTGTGTGTAAGCACAACTTATTAAAACTTCATATTTGAATTCGTGTAACTACCTGCAATAAACATAATCAAACAGAGGATAAGTATCTCATTTTAAATATAAAAAAATAATTAGAATAATCATTTATTTCTAACAAAATATTTGATTATTATCTTTATAAAAAATTATATTATTCAACCAAAAATAAAAAAATGAATTAAAGAAATACACAAAAAGAAGAAATTTTTTAAATAGTTAGTTTGGTACTAATTAATATCAATATTTTCTTTTCATTTTTTACGATATCTTCATATTTATATTTTATTCAAAAATAAAAACATTGTTGTTTTCTCAAAACCACGTAAAACCGTATTATAACATCGATTGAGAGAAAAAAACATTAAAATCGCGATGTATCTCGTTGTATTGTGTGAATACTCTTCTGGTATCATATAATTCATTTTGTATCTTGATTTTTCATATTAATAACGAGTTCTTCAAAAAAAAATCAAAGAACGATTCATATGTGAATCAATAAATATTCATTACATATACGACATAAATGATCAAGCAACCGGTACACATAAAAACACATTTATCAGTTCGTTTTTATTAGGTTCTCATCATGTTACTCTTTGCTTTTTCTTAAATATAAATAAACACGACATGTGAGAAGCATTTACTAAATAATAATAAATAAATAAATAGAAATTCATGATTGACTTTTATGTTGACTTTTTTTATATAATTCAGATTACGAATGTGATGATGTTACCATACACATAAAAATTATACCTTCTAGATTAAAAGTCAAATTTTGACTTTAGGAATGATTACATTTTATTTTCAATGAAGAGGCTCTTTTCATAGGAACGGTATGAACGATCTGTAACTGTCTATCGTTTTTTTAATTATCTAGAAGTGATGTTTATATGTTGTTTTTATTTATAAAAGAGGGGTATTTTGGTCTTTTAATCTGACCACGTTAAGATCGTTTTTATGGATGCAAAGCTAAAACCAGCTCAGGGAAAGGGATCGTTGAATGAGGGGCCGTTTACCAAATGCTTGCCCAAGTAAGCGCTTACCAAATCACATTACATTATCGGATGAATATGATAAGGACTAAGAATCTTATCCGGTAAGAGCAAGACAATGACCAATAATCTTACCCGGTAAGTGATGACAACGACTCTTACCACGGTAAGTGCTTACCGGGTAAATTGTTGCATACGATGCTGTTTTGATGTACTAAAAATCTTACCCGATAAGTAAATGATAGTGTTTTTTTTTTGCCGATAAGCACTTACCGGATAAGTGTTTAGTAAAGAGCCCCTAAGCAAAACAACCAATTGATGYCGTTATAGAAGAATTTCCACCTATGGATGAGAATTCGAAATTAGAAATGGATAATGATGTTTGGACCCCTACCGAAGCTGGGACTCAAGCCCAAGGCATGGATCTGGTTCGGAAAAGGGTGGACGAAGACTTGGTTGAGTCCAATATTTATTTGAGGGCTACAAGTGGTTTTTACAGTTATCGAGCCCAAGGTATGTTTACAATGACAAATGTCAATTAAATAGGTCTATTTGAACTAGTAATGTATATTGTGTCTACATACATGTTCATAGATCAGGCTGCTAAGTCTGGAAAAGAAGCCTCTAGATTTAGAAACTATAGAAAACATATCGGGGATTTCTAATTAATATGGGAAATCAGTTAAACCACGTAAACGAGAAAATAAACGTGTAGAGGGACATATGTCACTTAAATAGACCTATTTGAACCGTAAGTGAAAATTGTGTCTAGATACATGTTTAAGTGGGAAAAATCAAAAACCGTCGCACAGAAACATGACACGTGACCCCAAAGGTCAAAAGTACCAGGAGGTTTCAGGTTCAAATCCAAGAAATAATAAAAATCCCCTTGTGGCCACGGAGGTTCAAATGCGGTGACTCCGGGATATCTGCAAAGCAGGTGGTCGTCCTGGGATTAGTCGGCTCGCATAGCGAGTTGAATATCCATGTTAATAAAAAAAGTTACTTATTTATTAAGTATGTAAATGTATATACATATAAACAATGAGAGTGTTAATGGCACCCCTTTAGCAAAGGGTGTTGAATAGTTGGAAATTGTGTGATTTCTAAAATATATAAAATATCAAATCAATTTAATAATATATTATATTTAATTATCATTATTATTTTATATACATATATATTAATTAAGTTATA